GAATTATCACGTGAGAAAAAGCCAAGTAGAAGAAGAAAGAAAAGAAACTCGCGCTTTTTGGACGCAGTACTTAGGAGGAAGCCGCTGTTTAACCCAGGTTTATTTGCTTTCAAATTTCAATGTGTGTATGTGTGTGCATATTTAAATGTGTGTTTGTCTGTGTGTGTGTGTGTGTGTGTGTGTGTGTGTGTGTGTGCGCGTATGTGTGTGTATGTGCGTGTGTGTGTGTGTGCGTATGTGTGTGTGTGTGTATGCATATGCTTATGGCGTTTGTATATATGTGTGTATGTGAATATGTGTTTGTTGGACCCATTTTAGGCTGTTTTTTTTTGCAGAAGAGAAAACATTTGAAGAATATTTTAACGAATATTATGCACTTGACTATGAGGATATCATTGGCGATGGCCTGATAACGAAATTCAAATATCGTACTGTGCCAGCCAATGACTTTGGAATCTCAGTTGATGAGGTATGTTCTTCTGAAATTCCTTTGCAGATTCTGACCCATCCAAGAGGTTAAATGGTTTAAATTTCACTGCTTGGGTTTTGTTTACTTGTGCCAAATTATGTAATGTTGTTTGTGCTCGCATGCTTTTCTTCAAATGCCTAGCTTATTTGGAATAGATCCAAAGGGGTTGTCTGCACTTCTTGCTTCTCCAGTATAGTTTTGGATTATTCTTTTTCGCTTTTTCTCTGAGGTTTGATTTTTTGTTAGGGGCAGGTTCATGCATCTTGTTTTTCCGCGAGTTCAGCTGTTGGATTCTGCCGTCAAATTATTTAAATTCCTTCGATTTCGGCTGATTTGCTATGACGATATGCGGAGAACCTCTTCATTAATACAGGGATTTTTTCTGTTCACTCTGTTCTTGTGGAGATAGTTGAACAGTTTACGCAGCGTCACTCAAAGCACATAGTTTGTTTCGCAGTTCACTGATCATCAGTGTTATTGAATTCGCTTGGACTACTGCTATAGATGTTTGATATCTTGGAATGCATCTACGTGTGTGTGGAGCTTTCGCAAGTTCCTTTTCATTCGAACTGCACGCGTGCAGTTTGCGTTCATCGTCTCTTTTAAATGGATACAAATCAGATCTTTAGAAGCTCCAGATCTTTATTATCTGTCTTTCGAGCACCATTCATAAGGGGCAGGAGGGAGGTGGGGG